GTAAATATGACCATTGTACAAAGTATTATACTAGGGGTGAGCTACCATCCTTTTACTTAGTGATGAGATGAAATAAATTGTAATAATGATGTCCAAAAATTAGAATACAGGTGAAATTAGTTAATGACAAAAATAATAGTGATATCATCAATACGATTTTACCCTTTTTTTCGTATGATTAACCAGGTAAGCCAAAACAATTTTATTAATTCGTGGGGCCAAAAATGAACGTTACAAATTTTGGATAAATGGAAATTTCTAAAAGGCAAACGTACCACTGGTAAAGGTATATTGATTTTGTACGTTAGACATACACAGGAATCATAAAAATAACATCTTTTTTACAATATTAAGTCGACGGACTAAGAGAAGCATAGCTAGACCATCGATTGCTATAGAAGCAGAAAGTAGGGAGATATGCAAGAGTTGAAAATTTACAGTGGCAATCTAATGTTAATACAATTACCAAACTTGTGTAATCTTTGAAAATAAGAATATTGGTGGAAGTGATGGACAAATCAAATTTAACCATTTAAATGAAAAACAATTTTTACAAATCAAATTTAACCGGTCAAAATACCGCGGCCATTCAGCAATTTCTTAGTGTGTTACAACTGAAAGAAAACTCATTTGTAGATGAACAATACACCTGTTTTAGTTTAAAATTTAACAACTACATATAACTAATTAAAAAAAAAAATAATTGTTATACAAATTCAACGTGTCTGTCTCAGATAAATTATTAGATAAAAACCAACTATATTTTGCAGCTTGCCTGCAAGAGTATATTCCTCGGGTAATATCTTTTAGTTAGAGCTTCTTTAACCTCACTTTTCTTTGTTTTTATTTTATAGTTTCGTACCATATTTACAGCTGAAAAAATGCAAAATATAATATTAGATTGTTTAGCCTCAAAGATTTTTATAACATTACAAAAATAAAATGTTTGTTTATGGGCATGGGACTGGCGAAAAATAACATAATAAGGTAAAATCATATGCGCAGCTTTAAAAATAATTTAAAACCATTTACCTTATTTCTAGATGCACTCGCAATTATAACTTTACTTCAAAGAAGTTTCTTGTATGTTATTTAAAATAAATAAACGTTTCTTCTAAATTTGTTGCCTTCATTTAAAATCTCAAAATACCAAGATGTAGACTACCAGTTTAACATTTTAGAAAAATGTGTTGCCTAACCTAGTAGTAATTGCATCAAAATGGTCGCGCCCTATATTAGGCATTCCAACGACCTGTATAAATGGCTACCAGTGTGATATATAGTTATATAGATTGCTCAAAGCTATTCGCTTGCGAGCGGCCATATTGCCAGGCAAATATTTATTAATTTGAATCGGTTTAGCAAAAATGTGTTTTAAAACCAATTTTTATCCTTTAGATATTTAAAAAAAAAAATAATTGCATACATTTTCACTTCAAAGTATAAGCTTATGTTTATTTTGAAAAATATGGATGATCAAACTATGTAACTATCTGTTTTATTGACCTTGTCAAATCACCAGGCCTACAGGGTTGCCATAAGTTTGCCATATCATAACCTGTTAAAACCCACTGGTAGTCATTCTAGTTTGGAATGCCTAATAGTAATTAAAGTATGCGCTATTATTACAGAATAGCAAGTCTAAGCGACAAATACTTTTTCAGTCGAATTACACACAACAAGTTCGAGAAATTGACTGTAGTTGGCATGTCGAATAACAGCGGTGTCAATTTTCTATGTAAGTCAATGTAAAATAAAGTAATTTTTTAAAAAAATGGTGAAAAGAATCAAAATAATGTGAAAAAAGTACCTGAGTACAAGTAGCATGAGTGGCAAAAAAACATTTTAAAACAGGATACAAATTCTAATATAAGTAAAATAATGTATATATGTCTAAATATAATATTTATTGCAAACTAGTTGCAATATGTATAATAGGAGTGTAGTTTATTTTACTATAGTTACTATATAATATAAAATGTTACAGTCATAGATCCTGACTTACAAACAACAATAATTATACATTAAATTTAACTTACTAGAACAGAAAATTTATTTTTATAGCACTGTCTAGATATGATGCTGTTCTATAATTTTTAGAAGATATTATAACTATTATGAGACTATTTTTACTGATGATACTGTTAGCAAAATAAAAAGGAGAAAGCTGAAATTAAAGGATGAGGTAATACCATGTACATTCCCAAATATCTCTTTATACTTGTATTATAACAATAAAAGATCTATTAACTGTGTTTTATATTGCGCCCAAAACTATATATGTATAGGTTCAATTAAAAAAAAAATTGACACAAATTTCAGCATTTAACAAACCTATTTGAATTTGGTCATACTTACCTAATTTGTATTTTATATAGATAAAATTAAATAATTTATCAATTAAAACATGCAAGAACTATTTAAAAATAAATATAACAGAATATTCTGTGCTTTATTTAGCTACAAACAAGTTTACTTTTAATATTTTGTCAAAATTATGTATAATTCCCATAAGAAGCCATGTATTTTGAAAACCATAAGCAGTACCAGCGCCCATGCGGTTAATTATATAAGCTCAATTAGCGTGCGTTTTTGGGACCGTATTTTGAGTATGCTGATTCGCCTCCCTATCTCTAGTCTTCATACCAGCGAAGCATGCATTATGTGTATGATGTGTTCCCTACTTACGGGAAAATATTTGTTTACTATAAACGTCTCAAAAATACTTTCAAGATCGGTTAAAATACTCTAATCGCAAATTGCTGACACACCCACTGTTTTATGTTTAAAATTTACAAACAAAACATCAATTTTTGCACAAACGAGACATCTCAAGTTTACCAAAAATGTACGTTTCCGTAAGTAGGAACAGTTGATAGCCTAACCAGTAGGCAGAGAAAAATATATTGTATGTTTTTCAAAATTGTTCTATTAAGAAATAGTTAAAAAAAATGAATAAAAAAATAAAACGGTTAGGAAAAACGATTGAGACCAAATCACTTACCCATACTACATCTAGGGGTGACGTGAGAGCTCTTCATAATTCCGGTATCCAAGGGATGATCCAGGCCTTTTCCTACCTCAGGTTTTTTATTCTAATTTTACAAATAAGAACGTTTTGCACCAAAAATTTTAAGTTTACCGGTTCTCGATACGGCTTATTTCGCACTGACCTCTTTAAAGGTTTTGTCATGGTACGAATCTACAATCGTGGCTCGGTTGAAAACGGAGAAATCTTTTGTTTATATTTCAATTATCTTAAATAATAAGAGAAATGAGTAAAGATACAGCAGCAGTTCTAGCTCAAAAACTACCATTTTTCCATAAGAAATTCTAAGATTCAAAATGGCCGTTTTTGTCCATTTCAAGGTCACACGTGGATGCTTAAAGTAAACATAATAACGGCGACTCGTAGTTAGATAACGCCGAGTGTAGTGACCTCGCAGAGTAAGTATAAGAGTGACCTACTGCCAAGAGTTATTTTTAATCCTGTCAACTTACGCGAGTACCATTTTTTATTCGCGCCATTCCTGTCAACATACGCAGATGCCATTTTTTATCCGAGCCCTATTTTATCCTGTTGGCTAATATATTTCAAATGTCAGAGAAAACCTAATGTCATTTAACCTAACTGTCAACTAGCAAAACTAGCAAACGCTCAGATGAAGGAGAAGACCAAAATTTCCTAAGCTTTGTTGGTACGATTTAAGCAACGCTGCACCGAGCAGTAAAGGGAATAGCTAAATAGTCAACCAGTTTAAAGCAGCGCAGGTAAAAGAGAAGACCAAAAAGGCCTAAGCTTTGTTGGAGAAGGGAACTAAAGAAAAAGAGTCTAAAGACAGCCATACGAAAGGATAGACAGATCAAAGAACAGACAGGCGGATAGACAGACGGAAAGACAGACGAGTCAGACAGACTGATGGCTGGAATGAATTCTTAGAAATTCATTGTTAGTCACAGAAATTCGTAGAAATTCATAGACATTCATAGGCATACGAACGGTCACCTAGACAGATATTCAGACAGACGTAATTTGGCCTCATTCATCATTGTTGTTTATTGTCGTACGCCATCATCTTCATTGGATATTAATAACAAGGTAAATCTTTATTAAAAATAAATACTCTTTATTCCTGCTCGTTCATTGTCGTATCGTGGTCGTAGTACAGAGTGAAGGCTGTCTTCATTTGTCTGCAGTTTGAAAACGGGGTATTTTTTTTTTAATATTTCTATTTTTTTTTTAATTTGGTGTCATCGGCATTAACTGCTAAGGCCATTAGCCTTTAATATTTCTATTATCGTCTAAATAGTAGATGCTTAACTTAAATATTCAGATTAGTCTACATTTTCTTTTAAAATACCGATTAGTTTTAATAATGACAACCTTTCTATTATTTTATGCATATTAAAATGAGAAAGCTTAAAACTAATTAGGCATTCCAACGACCTGTCCAAATGGCTACCAGTGGGTAATGACAGTTTAGATATGGCAACCGTGCTGTCATTAACAGGGTCAATGATACATATATAGTTATATAGATTGCTCAAAGCTGGTCGTTTACGAGCGGCCATATTGCCTGGCAAATATTTATTAATTTGAATCGATTTAGCAAAAATGTGTTTTAAAACCAATTTTTAGCCTTTAGATATTTAAAAAAAATAATTGCTTACATTTTTACTTCAAGGCATAAGCTTATGTTTATTTTAAAAAATATTTATGAACAATCTATGTAACTATCTATTTCATTGACCTTGTCAAATCACCAGGCCTACAGGGTTGCCATAATTTTGCCATATCATAACCCGTCAGAACCCACTGGTAGCCATTCAGTTTGGAATGCCTAATTTTGTTTTTCTAGACCGGCAATAATGTCAAATTATGACAAATCGCAAACGTCAACTTTCCAGTTTTATTATAAGGAGTGATTGTAGGAAAATAGCTATTTTGATCCTGTAAGAAAAATCATGCTGGAAGTCGGTCTGCGATGTAAAATAAACTATTTTTAATGTAAAAGTATTTTTTATTGTTCATATTTTTAAAAGGTTATATATATCCACAAAATCATCCAATGGCATATCAGTCTGATTCTGAAACTATTGTCATCAATATTTGAAACATAATTCACCATTTGATATATTTATAAACAGTCAATTTACTCAAAGGCGGAAGTATGAAAACCTTCAATCTAAAACATAACATAAGTAAATAAAACAAAAAGTTGTATTATGAGGATGTTAGAAAAGTAATGACAATTCATCTGTAAAGAGGGAGCTAGACGTTCCATTTACACTCAGGTTAGACCAATATTTGATCTACTTATCTATCATTTGTGCATGGCGTACATTTTTCTAATGGATTACGAAAATAATGCTCACACAGTACTCTCTGAAGTTATGGTACCTTATACCCTATCTGTCTTTGTGATTTTGACTTTTTCGCAAGCTAAAAAAACCACCTCAGAGGTTTATGTTGTTAACATCAGAAAGCAGTGACGGACAATCTGAAATCGATTCCGCTTAAAAACTCTCACTATTGGTAAGATGAAGAACACACAAAAATTTGCATTTTCCCAAGATAACTATTTTAAAGATGATAAATTCGAATTGTAAATTAAAATAAGTACAAAGCATTTTAGAAGCATGACTTTTTAAAGAAAACTTATTTCCTTAATCTAAGTAACATCATGTAAATAACTATGACCCAATTCACTCTTGTTCGAAATTGTTAAAGAAAATTAATAATAGAAATAATTAAAGCATTCAGATAAAACAAAGAGAAATTTTTAAAAGATGACAACTTTTATAATGGATCAAGTAAAAAATATTGTGATCGATTACGGTTTGGATGGGTGACTGAACTCATTAAACTTGGGACCCATCTAGACAGTGGGAAAAATTTTGCTAGTTGAATGAAGGAAAAGAATCAGGGCATTCAAATGGCGGTACAATAAACCGCCATGCAAACTCCGGAAGACGAAAGGCAGGCTAGAACGTAAGCCTCTACAAGCCGGATTGGGGAAGCCTATCGAAGGAGGAAGAAAAAAATAAAAAAACCTCGATTAAAACTGTATACTAACAATATATTATGTAGCTGCTGATGGTTACTTTATTGCGTTTTACAAAATTAATGAAGGAGTATCTCAAAGCTCAGTGATACTGTTCCTATCACAAATAATCTACTTCTAACTCTCGTATATCTATAATAGTCTGATCAAATGGTGTTCAAAAGTGCCTGTTTCGTAACATGAGTGCGGCAGAAGGTTTCTCAACGAAATTATATGTTTCTGGGGTGCTGAACAAGAATCTGAAGTTTGCTGCCTCGTAGCAGTGCCGCTTCAGGTCGAAAAACGCAAAAATCTTCGAAATTTTTGGAATTTTTATGGTTTTCCGCTGTTATAATGAAAAAAATGCATCGAAAGAAAAATGTTATTCTATTCAAAGTTGAAAAACATAAAATTCTGCGTCGAAAAACCTCCATAACTTTCAAATTAGACCGATGTATAAGGTCGCTATCGTCAGTCCAAAAAAGCCAATTTTTGGCAACTTTTGTAAAAAATTTAAGAAACTGACTTTTAGACGTCTGTGATGTGAAAACAGCCACTCTACGTGAAAAACTTGTATAAAGGCATATACTGATAATTTCTTCATTTTTTTTCTCTAAGCGTTTATTTGATCTATATAAAGGAGTTTCGCAAACTTTTGTGAAAATTGCAATAAACTGTAATTTGAAAACAGCCACTGTACGTGAAAAACCCAATTTTACACCAATCGCACAATCTTGCATTCAATGCCTCGCCAAAGTGCTGGTGCCCCTGGTCAAAACATTAAACTGCTGAAGACTGTAACATCAGCATAAGTTGTGGGGAGCTTGGGAGCCGTGACACTACAACACTTTGAGAAAAATGATGCTCTTGGCTTAGCCAAAATTCAGATCAATGACTTGAGCACTGCATTCCCTCACAATAATACAATTGTCCCATCATTGCCACTGTTGGTGTGGCTTTACAGTAAATATAAAGACATTCCGGGAATTGACGGATGAAATGGTTTCATGGAGGAGGTGGCCAGAGACATACCATATGAAACAATTTTCATTGACGCCAGACTTTCATCAATGCACCTCCAAGCGATTACGACACTATATATACCTTACTGTTAACTGCTGTTCAGAATATATAATCATGTTGTCCTGGACAACAAACAACGTTTGTCACGTTCGATCAGCCCCTATACCTCAAGGCGCGAGATGTCATAGCAAGCCGCGAGGGAGATCCTGAGTTACGTGGTGTGGTCGTAAACGCTTGGAGGGTTTCACTTTACTCATGTCGTTCATGGGTTTCATAATGGCAATCAGTGGCCTAACTGAACTTTTCAATACTGTGTATGCAGTTAACAGCACTGAGAAGATTATGACAGGACACGCTTACGTCAAGGCTGACAGAGGGCATACTTTCACAGCCCCCACTTTGAGGTTGAACAGGTTATGTACAGTTGAGATTTAAGTGAGCTGCTCAATTCACTTAAAGAAGGATGGGGGAAGGAAATTGAGCAATTGTTCATAGCCCGGCTCAAACAACTTGCCAATCTGGGGCTCACTGCAAAGTTGTGGGTTCAATATTTCGAAATGATAACTTTGGTGTTAAAATTTATTGAAAACTGAAAATTCCATCTTCATGTCGTTATTTTACAACACACAAACTCAATGACATTGCTTTCAGTTAAAGAACCGCCATCCCAGCCTACCACTCCAAGTGCTGAAGAGCCTGAGCCTGGACCATCATCGTCGATTGAAACCCCTATGCCCAGACCTTCCACAGTCCCAGCCGAACGAAGGAGAGTCAAATAAAATGGACATATCTATCAGTTATTTTTTTACATAACATCTTCACACTATCCTTCAACCTACTTGCTCTTCTTTCCAGCTGACTATGTGGTCTTCCCACGATTTTTCCTCAAATATATAATGAGAAGTTACTTTTTTTATCTAAATATAATAAATGAGTAAATGTTTTTTTTGTAAATGGGTACTTATTACTTCTTATTACATTAACATAATACTTATAAATCCTCAAGTCAGACTTGCATTAAAAGGAGGAGGAAGGAATTTAGGGTTGGGAAGGGAGTTTGAGAGAGAGGGGGGAGTTGGTACTTTAATTTAGAGTTTGGAGAAGGGGTCAAATAAGCGTTTAGAGGAAAATATGTACATGCGTATATACTGATCCAAATTTAAAATTTCGGTACTCACTAAATGCAAAATTTGATGCTCTATAACTTTTGTTTTACGAGTTTTTTACGTAGAGTGGCTGTTTTCACATCACAGATCTCTAAAAGTGAGTTTCTTGCAGTTTTCACAAAAGTTGCTAAAAATTGATTTTTTCTACTGACGATAGAGACCTTATAAATCGGTCCAATTTGAAAGTTAGGGAGGTTTTTCGACGCAAAATTGTATCCTCTTTAACTTTGAATAGAACAACATTTTCCGTACGATGCATTGTTTCTATGATATAAGCGGAAAACCAAAAAAACTCCGAAAATTTCGAGGATTTTTGCATTTTTCGACCTGAAGCGGCACTGCTACGAGGCAGCATACTTTAATTCGTGTTCAACACCCCAAAAAACATATAATTCCGTTGAGAAGCTTTCTACCGCTTTCATGTTACCGAAAAACTACCATTTGATCCGGCTATAAATTCTCTGGTTAATCAGAGAGACTGGCCTGTCCATTATTTTTACTCCCTCGTACTTAGCCCGGCTTCACAGGTCTAGGACCTACAAGTATTATCGCTCCCTTCACACCTATAGTTGCTTGACTTTGGGCCTTTCTTCTCGGACAATTTTTCCTGAAGACATCTGCGATACAAAATACTTTTAGTACAATAGTCGAATTAGTATCACTTACTATATGTAAAAAAAGATTTTGAAACATGGATATCCAATTCGATAGATAAAAAAATTTAATTTAGAGTCTTGAAGAAATTATTTTTCTTACTATTTTCATCATACCAACCTCTTTCATTGCAGTACAGGATTTAGCCATAACAAGTTCTAAACTTGGATTTTGTCCTTTAGCACATGTTAGATGACAATCATTGACATAAGTTTCATCATCAGATCCACATACCGGACTCCATTTTCTGCTACATCCGCAATCTTTAAGATCATCCGTGAACGCAGGAATCTAAAAAATATAATGAAGTAAGAAATATGTATATATCATTATCATTTTTAACCGACTCCAAGAAAGAAGGAGGTTCTCAATTCGTCGGAATATTTTTTTTTATGTATGTTCAGCGATAATTCTCTACCATGTTGTCCAATTTTTAATATTCTTTTTCTGTGAGAAGAAAGTTACCTTAGAGTTGGTCCGAATTGGTAAAGATCTGAGGACATATTGCAAAAAATCGACATAAGTTGTAAAAATTGAAGAAACACTCACACTATCCATTGTATCGCATGGTCCAGTTCCGAACAATTTAAGATTAGGAGTTTTTAGTTGATCGCATTCCAGAAAACAATAGTTATCGTATGTTTTGCCATTACTTGCACAAACCGGTTTCCAAATTAGGTGACAATTGCATTCTGGCAAAATCTCAAAAACAAAACAAAAATACATAAAAAAATTATGGATATTTGTTACAATAGCTATTTATGAAATAAATTACGAAATTCCTTGTTTTATGTAACGAGTGAATATTTGCTGGACGAGCAGAGCGAGGTCCTGCAACATAAAACATAAAACGGCATTTCGTAACGAGTTACATATTTCTAATTTTGACTAGATTGTTTATAAAATTGTGTTTTGTTAAAAAATTACTGACATCTAGGTAACCAATATTACGAATTTCTTGTATAATAACTTCATTCTTTTATTGACAAATAGAAAATAATATTCATTTATTCTTAACGACTAATTATTTAGATTTTAAGAAAGTAGGTTATTTTGTCGTGTATTGTGTTTTGATTATTTTGTGCTGATATAGAATCGAAAATAAGGACCAAAACAACTTTATTACTAGGTTGTAAGTTTAACCAAATTCTATTTTTATAAGTCAACCTGCTCTTCTTAGACATAAACTTTCAATAATAATGTATATTCTTTTATTTCTTTTCTTTTCGCTGGTGATATAATAAATTTTTCGACATTGGTTTCATAATGTTCAAAATTATGCAACTGGTTGCGTAAAGT